ATAATCTTGGTGCATAATTGTGCTCCTTGGTTTGCATCCTAACTTTTTATTGTAAGCAACTCATCATTATTTTCTTAACAGATACAATGTGAGAGAAAATATGCATAGAGTAATTTTGTGACACTATTTGAAATACTAAGAAAAACAGAAAACTAAGAAGGGAAAAGTGGTACTCAGATTTTCTGTGCCTCAACGGTGAAATAATTAGACTAAGAAATAGATGAAAAGGGAGAGAGAATATTGTGCATCGTCTTCCTATCACAAAATCAAGGGTCACATGTACAAATGCAATTTTACCTGCTCAATGGTCACTCAGTGATCACCATTGAGTTTAAGGGGGCCTTCAGTTTGAATGAAAGCTCATCTGTGTTGGTAGAATCCATAGTTGTAAAGTTCAAGCTTTGTTCCAACACAAGATCAACCAAAAATTGACAGTGAGATCCTTTCTTGTGTTAGAACAAAGCTTGAACTTTACAACTACGATGCCTGAGGTGTTAATGAAATAACAGTAAAGATGCCTGACCGACACCTCTGTACAGGAACCCTGTGGGGGCAGAATTGGTATTGGAAGAGCAATTTGTGTGAGATGTTAGAGAAGATCTGATTTCATCATTCCCATCAGGAAGGTGGGAAATAAAGCCAAACGACGCTTTGTCACATCTCAGGTATTGATCTTACCTCGTGGTAACAAACACATCTCCAAAACTCTTCTCAGTATTCTATTCATGGAAAAGTCAGTAAGAAGTCAAGGTGAAAATCAAGGTACGGACATGCACGTCAGCAAAACGTACTGTGCCTGCGTGAAATCCTGAACGTAATGAGCATAGTACTTCTTCAGAACATCTTGTTTAAGGTTGTATTCGTGTACCTAAGGTTGATATCTTGTACATTCATCCATTCATCAGTCCTATAGCTAGTGAAAGCCATAGGCGCAGTGTAGCATTCAACACTTGCCTGTAGTTTTCAAATATTGTGCAGGAATAGAGATGTTATGTAATGGACAGAAACCATGGTTTTGCACAGTACATTGTCCTGAGTACTGGCTCCACTGCAGGTTAATGTCAGGTTGGTTAGATTAGAGCTTACAATATTATATTATAGGTTATGTAGAAGTGCTATGCACAATACATTCTGGGTTTCAAGCAAGTGCAGTATGTTCTACCGATGCACTGTCCAAGTACTGGCTGTACTGCAGGTTAATGGCATGTAGTGTAGATTAGAGGTTGTACATCTCCCTGCTGACATCCGGGGTCAGCTGTGATGGATGCTCCTGTGGTTATCACAGCTTCAGCCACTCATCTGTGCACAGCTTCAGCCACTCATCTGTGCACAGCTTCAGCCACTCATCTGTGCACAGCTTCAGCCACTCATCTGTGCACAGCTTCAGCCACTCATCTGTGCACAGCTTCAGCCACTCATCTGTGCACAGCTTCAGCCACTCATCTGTGCAGGGCTCAGTAAATGTTTTACTTTAATCTCCCCACAGTCAGGGGTACAGTTTTGGGTCACACACCACTTAGGTGGGCAGCTCAGGCCTGCATGGGGAGCTGGGCAGCCATACCTGGACTTTGTGTCAAATGTTTTGAAAAGTTTATACTTCATGAATGAATGAAAGGTTTGTTTGTAAAACATACATGTAGTGAACACCCAACAGATTAATTTTGGACTAAATATTGCACTTTGGACAAATGTTTTTAGCCCTTTGCAGCTCATACTTACTCACACTCACTCACTGTCCAGTTTATCGTCTGTTGTTCCCCGTCTTCCGAGGGTTAGACTTGCTTGCAAAGTTGATATTTTGTGAAAACATTGCATATAGTAGCCTGTAGGCAGAAGCATCTTACTTATAATTACTACTAAGTGTAAAAATCTGACTCATTTGATTTACTAGTTTTCTAAGGTTAACAATTTTACAGCAGTTTATTTTGCAGATGTCTCATCATCTCACCACATGCTAACCAGAGTCAAAGATATTGTACTAGTATTTCTGAATATTTTTACATGCAGATTTAAAACAAACAAGAGTAAACCTCATACCTGGTTTGTTTTTCTCAGCTATCAACAGTCATTGCTGTAATGAGATTATTCAATCATTATTAAGCCATTCCTAGAAGCCCCAACTGTTTATGACTCACTTGTTCTTGTATAATTATGTGGGTTTTGTGGCCTTCTGTGTTGGAAAGCACATGTAAAGGTATGCATGAGTCATATACCAACAAGCTAGGGACAGCATTCCATATCTCATTAGCCAACCACAGGACACATTGGTCCCCCGTGCTCTGGCCAATCGCTGTAATTACGTTGACCTTTGTACCCACATGTCAATCATATAACCTGCCTGTCAATCTTCTCTCAGAGAAATCTGCTGGAGTCAGCAGAAAAATTCCAATCAGGTTTTGATGAGTTTTGTGGCTGCAGTGGTGTGCTTGCCCTCCATAGCATTGCCCTGACTCAACCAAATGTTGGGACTCTGAGATTGGGGTCAGGATGTTCTATGTTTTACTGTGACACTGTGTGCCCCAGTTATGACTTTTCATCTAGAACCAGAGCATGTTTGAACCATCATTTTGTCCCCACTCCTATCTTTAATTCAACCTTAACTGTGGTTTTCCAATGGATGGTGACCCTGCATGTTCTTTTGTGGCATTTTGCTTGCCCCAGTTATGACTTTTCATCTAGAACCAGGGCATGTTGGTACCATCATTTTGTCCCCACTACTATCTTTAATTCAACCTTAACTGTGGTTTTCCAGTGTATGGTGACCCTCCATGTTCTTCTGTGACACTACTTGCCCCAGTTATGAGTTAATCTAGAACCAGGAAAGGTTTGAACCATTTTGTTGTTCCCAGTGCAATCTTGATGACCTACAGGCCTTCCCCTTAACTGTGGCTTTCCAGTGGATGGTGACCCTCTATATCTACTGTGGCACTTCTTGCGCTGGTTATGACTTTTAATCTAGAAGCAGTTTTATCAAGGGCCATGTTTAAACCATCATGTTGCTCCCAGTTCAATCTTGCTGACCTACAAGTCTTCTCCTTAACTGTGGTTGTCCAGTGGTTAGCAACTGTTCTTCCCAAGAGTTTGAATCTTGGCTGTTTTTGGTCAATAGGTGTTCTAGCCAGTATCCATTGTTCTGGTTCATAATGTAATCTTGCATAAGAGGCATAAACATCCCAGCCCTTCCTACATTTAGACAGATATAGCTATAGGTGAAAATTTTGATTGAAGTACTAGCACACCAAGACACCAGTACTGTGGACCTGTAGCTGAAGTTGAGATGACAAGGAAAACACTGAGTGCCTGCAAGAACCTTGATATGTCTATGATGATTAGACATCCACTTTAAGTTGATTCCTCAGAGAATATATCCAGTTGTTTGATTTATGTATTGCTAGAAGCTTGTTCTGCATCAGCCCTGTTGGAATCTCTGAAATGAGACCATAGATGGGCAGGCTGGTGCATGATGGGTAATTGATGAGGCAGAGCAGGAGAAGTTGTTTTAATGATTCACCACATCTACATCCCTGGTCAGGCCACACAGGGTTAGTTCTTTGTTTCACAGACGTTTTGTAGTTAAAATCATAGAAAGAAAGGACAAGATGAAAACAGAGGGTTTGGAGGATATTTATTCCCTGAAATTGTATTCTTCAAGGTACAGTCAAACCTACAAGTGACCACCTCTATATAAGGACCACCTGGGAATGTGACCACTTTTTGGTAGTCCCTTTGATAATTTTTTTCATTGACACAAGCAGTAAGTGGCCACCCGTCCACACAGACCAGATTTCATTGGTCCCTTGAATGGTCTTCTTGGACAGGTTTGTCTTTACAGACTTAACGTACAGATCCTGTTTTTATGGGTCCAGTTTAGCATTTTTTTCACAGAACCAACAGATTAACTTGTTGTCGCCTGACCAGAGGTCAGTCTTAATTTTCCATCTCCTGCTGCCCCCCTCCCGCATGAGTCACCAGCCTGTACAGGGTAAGGTCAGAGGTCACTCATACCAACCAGCCAGCACAGATTTCCTAAAAAGGCCATAGTAGGGCAGGCAAATGGACACCACAGTTAGCTGCATGCAGCCACACCTATCATGTGTGACACTGTACTCTTTTTCTGATTATAGTTCATGATACAGGGCATTTTTTTTTAGCTTTTAAGGTTTTTCCACCAATATTTTTTTGAACAATATCAAAGTTTTTTCTGCAAATTGGAGGTCTAGGATGAAAATTTTGAGCCTTGTTTGGTCTATTTGGTGATAGTTCATTCTAAACCTGAGAATTTCCTGGTACTGCTGTAGCCGGATAGACTGTGACTCCGTTTTGATTTTTGGCTGTGCTTATTTCAGTCACGGCAGCAGGGTTCAGGGAAGGCTGCCCAACATTACCCGGGGATTTTGCCATGGTCAGTTGTGAGCCTGTGGTCTGTACTCACCATCAAGGGGCTTCAAATATTCATCTATAGCTGCACAGACTGTCTGATGCAGAATACAGAGTCTGCAAAGTTGTTCATAATGTTTTGCCATTGCCCTTTTTATGCAAATTGAAGGTTGTAAGTGGGTTTCACGAGGAAACAGTTCAAGCAACTGGATAGATTTTAAAAACTGTCAGATGTTTCAAGTAGCATCCACTACTTTTTGTCAGTGACTGACTGACTATTTTTTTTGTGTCCTTCTCATTACCTGGATGTCTAACCTTAATCGACTTTGTAGAGGATATTTCCAACCGTGGCATTAGGGTTTAACTCCATAGTTGGGGAGACTGTTGGGTGAAACTTGTGTGTTTTATCTAAATATAATTTCATCAGGTTGGCAGAACACAGGATACTTTCTTTATTTTCTTTTACATAGCCAGTACTTCTCTTCCCTTGCTTACATTTTGTCCTTTCAGTGGTGCTTTGCGGCGAGATTGCCACAAGAACATGACTAAGTTGTGTGTTTAATGTTTGACATGTTTTTAAACACTGAACTAACCTGTACCTCCATTTCTGTGCCCATGTGCAGGTCCTAGCCAGTAGGCAGCAGTGCATCATGGGAAGTCGATGGAGAGGATATGACATCTACAGAGATGGTGAGTGGTTTTTACTTAACCTTCAAAATGCTAAAGTATCAAAGTGGTATTGGTTACAGAGTTAGGAAGCAGGCTTAAAACTCTTTTAAAGTCAGTTTGTGGACATGAACTTGGTCTGAAATGCTGGTGGTCGTTATTGAGTGCTTTGAGTTGTGGAATGTATATTGTGCTATTCCGTTGGTAAAAATGGTACATTAAGCATTTCCTTGTACTGAAACCATGGTGGTTAGTCACTCAATTCTTTGAGTTGTGGAAATAAATGTTCCGTAACCAATTTGATAACCAACATAAGAAGAGTTAATGACTGTCCTGAGCAGTAAAAAACATCCAACACATCGAGAAGTGAAGCTACTCCATTAGTGGAAATGGCACATGGACATGTCCTTGGTGCTGAAACCCTGGTGGTTGTTATTCAGCTGTAGAAATGGCAGTGCTAAGCAATAAAGAAACATCCAACACTAGCATTTCAAGCCCAGCATTTCAAAGTTTTTAAACTATCATCTAACACCAGCAAGGATGCTTTTTAAACATGCAAGGAAAGGTACATGTTGGTTCTGTCAGCATTTTTCAGTGTTGATGGTTTGTTGTTTGGTCAGTTTCATGTGGTTTGGTGTAGTTTTCATGCTGTGCTGTGAGCTGTGGAAATGACTGTCCTGAACAGTAAAGAAACGTCCAACACATTGAGAAGCAGTCAGGAGATATGATAACCCTGACAGCTGGGTTTATTGCTGTGTTAACCTTGGAGGCAAGTTCAGACAGATTTGAACTGATTCGATGCGGCTCCCAGTTTGATATGGCGTTAGTGTGTGCTTCAGGAACTGATGTGAGTAGATATATGAGCAAAGTCATTTCCTCTTTATGTTCCTTGTGACTGCCGCATCAGATCTGCAGAATGGTTGATCAGACAGGTCAATGAACTCAGCTCTGATCGTGGAGGGTTCAATGACTCTGTTCCTTATCCCTTCCCATCGGTGAAGGTTAGATATCCAGGTAAAAAGATACGCCAAAAATACAGTTACTCAAGCAACTGGATATGATTTTGGAAATTGTCAGATGTTGGAAAAAAATTTGTTGTCACTTATTTGCATATTAATCGATAGTTCATACTTATAAACCTGCTTTTTTTTTTACAAGTCTCCAGCTTCACTGACGAAAGGTAGTGGATGTTACATGAAATGTCTGACCGTTTCCAAAATCATATCCTGTTGCTTGAGTAATTTTTGGTGTATGAGTAAGGTAATTTCCTCTTCTGGTCCCTTGTGAAATGCCTTGTGTCCGCCCCATCAGATTTGTTGATCAGAAAGGTCGATGCCCCCATCTCTGATCGCGGAGGGTTCAATGACTCTTCAGGGCTGGAACTGGTGCACCAGTGTATGTCAAGATGTTAACTCCATAATAGTACAACACATTCTTAACATATAAGTGTCAGAAAAATAATGAGATCATTCTTGTACTACTTTTCTTTAGAAATGGAACATAATTAGTTTTTGCTGACATTCTACTTATTTTATTCTATATGGTGCCCAAAAAATTTACGAAAAATTGGTTGCACCAAAAATGAATTGCGAGCTCTGCAGGTCAATGCCCCCATCTCTGATCGCCGAGGGTTCAATGACTTTGTTCCTGATTCCTTCCCTCTCGAGCATGACTTAGACTATGCAGTTCAATATTGCTGCTGAGATGCATGAAATGTAGCAATAAACCTCTGTAGGTTATTCTGGCTGTCAGCTACAGTTTATGTATTCTGTTCGGAGCAACTTCTTGAATCTTCAAACAAGCCCAGAATTTTAATCCTGTTGTACTAAAGTCAACCAGCATCTAGCACAAGTAAGTATGGTTTTTGAACAGTTCAAAGTACTTGTTAGTTCTATCAATTTTTCTCATTAAACCTCTGTATTTCATTCTGTATTTCATTCTGTATTTCATTCAGCTACAGTTCATGTATTCTGTTTCTACTGTATTCCTCCATCATCAACATTTCAGCATTTTAGCAACCTGTTGTGCTGAAATTAAACATCATCTAACACAAGTGATAATGCTTTTATTAACCAAAGAAAAGTACATGTTGGTTTTATCAGATTCATTTATTAAACCTCTGTATCTTATACTGGCAGTCAGCTACATGTGTTCAGTTAATTCCACATTCTAGAATCATCAAACAAGCCTGGCATTCAAAGTATTTTGTTCTGAAATTAACTGCTGTCTAACATTAGGGAGAATGCTATTTTAACCATGCAAAGAAAAGTACATGTTGGTTCTATCAGCTTTAGTAAAGAAACCTCTGTATCTTATACTGTTAGTGTTCATGTACTCTGTTTCTACCACATTATGAAATCAAGCCTCACGTTTCCAATTTTTTTAAAAAATAAACTGTCATCTAACACAAACAAGACTTCTTTTTTAACCATGCAAGGAAAAGTAGATGTTGGTTCTATTGGCTTTTCTCAGTGTTGCTGGTTTATTGTTAGGTCAGTTTTGTGTCGTTCTGTGCAGTTTTCATTGATTCTGTCACTCCTGCCATTGGGTTCAGGTGTGGGGAGAACATGGGGATATTGAGGCAGTTTGTCACAGGGGGAGCATCTCAGAGGTTCCAAAATAGAACCAAAGGGATTGTTTCAAAGATTTAACCCTTTCACTAGATGTGGAAAGAAGATTTTTATCAGATTTGCAAGGGCCACTGTACTACAACAGTTTTAGTTTTAGTTTTTTAATTTTATCTAGGTAGCTTGCTCACTCAGACACACACACACACACACTCACTCACTCACTCACTCACTCACTCACTCACTTATTCCATCGTAAGACACAATCAAGGAAGAGCTGTGCAGGTCAGTACAACAGCTTGCTCAATCATTCACTAAATCACTCATGCTCTCACTAAATCACTCATTCTCTCACTAAATCACTCATTCTCTCACTCACTCACTCATTCACTATCTAGTTAAGCAAAAACTGTAACTCAGGTTTATGAAATGTGGGTCAACAACCCAAGGGTGACGTTGTATTTTAATAGATCTCTCTGGATGACATTCTCAGTCTCAAATGAAGGATAGCTATCTGAAACATCTGAATCCTCAGAGAATTTAGTCAGTCACTGATGAAAGATAATGGATGCTGTCTGAAAATTCTGACTCCTGAGGTTTTATCGAGATGCTTGATTTATTTTGCATCAGATAATGTCGTACCTGGGTGTCTGACCTTCACCGATAAAACATCATAATTACACTCCAGACTTCTACTCTAACAAGGACAATTTAGCTGTCATGTGGCGTTTATTCCCTCAGAACATGTTCATTCAGTCGGGACTGCTCTCTGTACTTTCTGTATTTAATTCCAGGAATCCAAACAAAAGGGTCACCGGGAAAAAACCCGACCCGGAATTTTAAATTGGTTTGTGAACGACTCGTGGACAAAAGGCCGTGTGACAGCCGGCTATCAGAGGATCAGCTCTGATGTTCAGTGGGGATGAATCGATAGAAAAATCACTATGATTTGCCCTGGATTGGGAAGATTTGTTTGGCTTGTTTCTGAGAGGATGTCAGGAGGGATTTCACTGACAGAAATAAGCAGGCGATGTATTTATATTGACTACGGGTTTTTTATATTCTCTTTGATGTATCTCTACCAATTGTATTGTCCAGTGAATTATGGTGAGGATTGCGTGAAGGGGTTTAGTATTGTGGATGGATAATGTTTGCACTCTGTGTGGGGGGTTTGGGGGATCAACAGTTCATTTTCTCTCTTATCAAAGAACTGTTCATCCCAAAAATGTTCAGGACAATTCTGTCAGGAAGCCAAAACTAAAGCGGCACAGCCACAATCCATGAAAAATTCATGATAGTATTTTTTTGTCTTCTTCATAACAGAAGGAAAGTCATGCTTCTCTGTAGATTTGACACACTTTTGATATAGAAAAATCTGGTTTAAAATCATCTTTATCATCATCAAGAAGAACAAGACAATGTTTACATACATCTTGAAAACCTTGGACAGCCTCTTGTCTGAATTTACATTCATAAGGCTGCAAGGTACTTGTATATTGTCATCTTGGTTTCAAGGAGTGAGTATACATACATTTGCAGTCAGAAATAAGTTTTCCCCCAATCTTCAGTTTTTATCTCGATGGGTACTGTCTAATATATCTGAGAAAGCCAAGGAAATCTGCGATACTAATTGATAATTGATGCGATAATTTTTGATTTGGTGGAGGATCAAAGTGGGTCAGTGACCGACACTTGCACTCCAGAACGTGGGTCAATGCTTTTAAAACATTAAGGGCACTGGTGGGAGCCGTGGGTAATCACCCGCATAGACAGCAGCACGGCTGGGTGGGTAAATGGGAGACATGCATCAGGGCTGGTCTGTAGGGAGCGGGAAGGTAAGTGAGCTGGGATACAAAAACATCCTGTACAACATACAACATTGTCTGGGGACTGGGGAATAGACTTGGATGTACATGTGGAGACAATAGAGTCAAAACTGTAGAGCTGAAGACCACTGAAACTCAAGGGACTGGGAAAATCAGGTAGGTTTTGCAAGTGAGCTGGGAGTAATGATACAAAAACATTGTGTACAACAAGTCTGTGAGGGGACTGGATACTGGATAGACTGAATACACTTGGATGTGTGCGTATTGTGACATCGAGACAATACATTCAAACCTGCAGACCACTCGGGACTTAGAAAATCAGGTGGGTTTATAAGTGAGCTGGGATATAAAAACAACCTGTATAACAAGTCAACTAGACTTGGATGTACATGTGGAGACAACAGAGTCAAAACTGCAGCCTGAAGACCTCTCAGGGGACTGGGAAAAGCAGGTCTGGTCATGATCACAGAAGCAGGTAGGGTTTGTAAGTAAAAGAACAGTGAGCTTGGAGTGATAGAACAACATCCTCTACAACAAGTCTGTCAGGGGACTGGGGAATAGACTTGCATGTGGAGACGATATAGTTAAAACTGCCCAAGAAGACTCAGGGAACTGAGAACGTCTCGTCTCTTAAGACAGGTGCACTTGAGACAGGATATATGTAACTGAAAAATCGTCTAAAGAACCACCAAGGGTCCTTATACAGAGGTGCTGACCAGCTCACTAGCACAGGTTTGACTGTATTTCTATTTGATGCTTAGCCTGTGAGGTTGAAGCTGACTTTGTAGCTGACTTCTTTTTGGTCAACCGTCCCGGCCACTAATTTGATTTGGGGAATAAGTGGTTCCAATCTTCACATCAGAAACCCACTAATGGCAAGCAATAGCCAAGAGGCACATTGTGGCTTTATGTCTTTTTTCTTTCAGTACATTATGGACATGGGAAATGTACTTGTATTATAGCTGCACATCCGTGAATACTTTCAGCAGGTTGGTAGGTCAATGGAAAAGAGATTCTTCTTGGCCTGCCAAGAGTTTCCTTCCTTCTAATGTTTTGGTAGTCAACATACTGGCTGTGTCGGGAGATATTATATATCTAGTACATGTAACATTCAACCTCCATCAACATTTATCTGCTACGCTGTGTTTCATGTATCGTAGACTTACTCAGACTTAAGGGCTCTCGTGTCTTCCGACACATGAGGCAGTCAGAGTGTTCCTGCAAGTTTGGTCCATGGATAGTCTATCTCTTTCCAGTTCAGGTTTACTGTTTGCAAGTATTTCTCCATTGTTTGAGAGATCTCCAGTGCAGTACCAGTGCAGTCAGGGAACTTATTTGTTTGTTTGTTTGTTTGTTTATCTGCAGATAATACCCAGTCGAGACAGTAAACAACCGCTCGTACCAAATATCAGTGAACTAACTTGTTTGTTTGTTTGTTTACTCCAGATAACGGCCCAGTTGAGACAGTAAACAACCGCTCGTACCAGCTCCACCCCAACCCCTCCGCCCTCATGTCGTCCACTACGGCAGACATCCACCAGTCGGACCGTACCAACTCCAACGTTCCGCCCAACACGCTCAACCTGCAGTCGTCGCTGAACGACGCCATGAACGCCGCTACGCGCACCAACACGACCACCACGGGCGGCGGGAAAAGCAGGAAGAAGTACGCCACCACCGACCTGTCTTCCATGGGGATCCCCACGGGGGTCCCCGAACCCACGCTAACCACTCAGACTAATAACGTCACTGCTACGGACGAGCTTCAGCGCCCCCGCGCGGGCTCGCAGTCCAAACGGAAGGACGCCGATTCCCCGAAAGCGCCGCCGGTAAACCAAAACGCGAACCAGCCCGCGGAGAAGTCCAGAGAAACGACCTCCAACTACTCGTCCAAACGGAAAGGCTTCCTGGATTACTATGCCGACCTTGAGAAGTCTGCGAACACGAAGGTCGCGGAGGCGTGGGAGAAGCAGCTTCCGGAGGAGAACACGAGAATAGCGCGGATCGAGGAGAAGCTGAAGCAGCCTCCGCCCGAGGGAGCCAGCCTCGCCGAGCCGCCCAAACCGGAGCTGGGGCCGGTCGCCAAGATCGCACTGGAGAGGTGCGAACAGAACAGGAGGGCAAGGGTCAGCTCAGACATACAGCACTATAAAGGTTTGTGGGCTAAATGTGTTGATGTGTTGTTGCCTTGTACGTTAGTGTTTTGTGTATTAGCGTTTTGCGTGTTAGTGTTTTAGGATTAGGGTTAGTGTTGGAGAGGTATGAACAAAACAGGAGGGCGAGAGAGAAACAGCTTTGGTGTGAGACTTGTCCTTCATTGACCATCAGGCTAGCAGGTACACAGAAATGTGGCTTAAGTGTAGCTTTAGCTATGGGTGAGAGAGAGAAAGGGAGGGAGTGAGGGAGGGAGAGAGAGAGAGAGAGAGAGAGAGCTTTGGTGTGATGCACGTCTGGTGTCCCCAATTGGCCAGCACTACTAGCAGGTATACAGAAATGTAGCTTAAGTGAAATACACATGTAGTGCGAGACTCGGTACCCTGAGGTGTTGTTTGATAAATGACCCGCCGGCCACATCTGAACAGGGCTGTCCTTTGTTGGCCAGCAAGTGTACAAAAATGGAGCTTTCGTGTGTTGAACATGTATACAGAGCGAGAGTTTTAGTGTAAGGTACGTGTATTGCGAGACTTGGTACCCTGAGGTTTGGTATGATAAATGACCCGCCGGCCACATCTGAACACGGCTGTCCACAAGACCATTAATCCTCGGACCCGGCGGGAATTATCATCCCCGAGACAAGAATGCGAGAATTTGTCCTGCGTCCGCGGCGATAATAATCTCCATCCGTCATCGCACGGCCGTCCCTGTCACCTGGCAGAGATACAGGAAAACGCGGTATCAAAACTTTACGGTCTGAGAAAAATGAACATATTTGCAGAACAATACATTTGCGGTGGTGGAGGTGCAGCAAAAAGAAAGTCGGCGAATATTATTTGTTCATGGTAATGATAATTTTGCTGTACAGTTAAATGTTAAGTTAAAGTCCTGTAAATTGCGCATCAAAAGTTTGCGGTCTGAAAAAAATGGACATATTCCCAGAACAATGAGAAGTTTATTGCAAATCCATGCCTGAAGGCTAATTGCAAGTTACGATCAACATAAAAGAACATTGAAACAGAGTGTAAAATAACTTCAAAATGTACATAATGAAATCTAATTGTCTAAAACTATTGCTATATCTAAAACTATATCTGAAGAGTTTGACTTTCTCACCTCTACCCTTTCTCACCAAAGCAATACGTTTGCCGTGGTTTCAGGTGCAGCAAAAAGAAAGTCGGTGAATATTATTTGTTCACGGTAATGATAAGTTTGCAGTACAGACATGACCGTATAAACTGAGAATATAGATTCTGAAGTACTGCGAAAAAATCGTGGTTTACAGTAATGTCTCCTTCCCGCTCCTGCTGCCCTCTAAAGTGCAGAGTCTGCAACTTTTGGGCAGAAGACAAATAGCACGTTCAGAATGGCACTTCCTGGCTGGAAACTTTGTCCCACTGCAAATCACTCTCCGCATGATTTAGGATCCCATTGAAGTTTGCCTTGAATGCGATATTTGCATGATTGTACCTCTAGAGTCTACCTCAAGAAGTTTAGAAGTTTGCAGAACAAGTGGCTAGCACGATTGCTGTTTTTCAGATGAAAGAAAACTTTCGTTCCAAGAAATTCTTCAACATAAACTCTCAAATTCAATCTATAATAATTAGTAGAGATTATTAGAGATTCAGTGAACACTTTTTATAAGCTTTGAGAAGTGACAGAATATGATGCTGCCGGTGCTTTGTGGCATCAAATTCAGTTTGCTATGTGCTTTCGTTTCCTGTCACAGAGGACTGTGTGTTTGATTGTTTGTTTCCTTGTTTGTTGTAACCTGTTATTCCCACCAGCTCCTATTATGGAGGACTGTTTGTTTGTTTGTTTGTTTGTATGTGTGTACATAATGTAACCTGTTATCCCATCTCAACAGCTCCAGTTACAGAGGACCTTTACACCACCAGTGCGACTGTGTGTTTGTGTGTTTGTATGTTTGTACTTTCTAACATGTTATACCCTCCTCCCCAGCTCCAGTTACAGAGGACCTTTACGCCACGAGTGCAAAGACGAAGGTCGAGGCTGACAGGTTAGAGCGTCCCCGCGACCTTCCCGTTCCAAGGTCGGTGAGCGATGAAGGTTACGACGGGATGTTCAGCTCCCCGGAGGCAGACCACCAGCCGACACCCTCCGTCGACGATGATGATGATGATGATACTGAGGTGGAAGATGAAGATGATGATGAGGTTGAAGATGAAGACATCATCGAAGATGTGGAACTGGAAGGTTACGAAAGGTAAGTTTGCATGAAAGTTCATATGTGTTGGTAGTTACATATTTAAAGTTAAAACTTTTGATCCAACACAAAAAAGTTCTCTCACCCAGAGCTTTCGACCAGTCACTCCGGTCTTCCTCAGTAGACTGACCCAGTGAAGCTTGTCACGTGGCTCTAGGTGAGAGAATTTTTTTGTTGTTGGATCAAAATTTTTAACATTAAACAAGAATGGTAAGTTTGTTTGTTTTGTTTGTATGTTTGGGTCAGACAAAATGTAACAACACACAGGTTACATAATTGAAGTCCAGTAGCAACTTATAGAATCAAGAAAAATGTGACAAAAGATTTCCCTCCCTACATTTTCAAGAAGTGTTTTTTTTCCAAAGCAGAACAGGTAAGAATATATTCTTCTTTTTGTAGAAGAAAGGTTTAGGCAGCATTGAGAAGGATACTAACTACCATGGTTTCCGCACCAGGGACAGGGCCATTAGCCTTCAGGCTGCTAAGGTAGCCATTCGGCACCATATTTGTATTGGTTGTGGGGTTAGGCAGCAGGGAGAAGGTTAAAAGTAGTAAAGGGTGAAGATGAAAACAGAAGGCTAGGAGAAAAATTTGATCTGACTTTATTCCTTCACTGAAACTGTTTGTTCGAAGGTACAGACTTTTTTCCATTCCAGAACAGCATTATTTCTTTTCCAATCCTGAGAACCTGCAAATTAAACTGCTCCGGCCAAGGTATCAAATATCAAGCTTTACGTAAAGTAATCCTGTGGAAGGTCGGAGATGAGATTTGGTGGGCGTCAAATTTCAGTTACAGCGCGGCGATTATTAAAGCCGGTCGTCGGGTGGAAGACTTGTGTCCCTGCGGAGCAGTTGGGAGACTCCATACTTCACCGGACCTGATAGCACGTCAGGTGTGCGCTGGATGAGACCTCTGGGACCGGCCTGGCCTACATTGGAGTAACGGATTGGCCGGAGACTTTTTAACCCCGGGCCGGGTCAATTCAATTCCTTGTTTTGTAGTAAAAATTCTTTGATGGTCAATTCATTGATGTTTTGTAGTAAAAATTGAGCAAGAGGACATGATGAAAACTTACAGACTGGTGTCCAAAACTATTTTAGCTGCTGAGTCTCTTTTGTACTCTCTGAAAATAGAGAAGGAAGAGATTCGGCTGTTAGAATATGTTTGGGCACCTGTCTATAAAACTGAGGGCTGGGACGAAGACTTGAATCTGAGTACGTTTACAGAGTTTCTCAATGAGCCCTTTGGGATGGCACTGGCCTAGATTGGAGTAACGGATTGGCCGGAGACTTTTTAACCCCGGGCCGGGTCAATCCAATTGCTCGGTTCTCATCCCTGGTGTTTCAAAGTAAAAATTCAGCGTGACTGCAAAATGAAAACTGATAGTACGGTGTTCAAATTTATTTTAGCTGAAGAGGCTCTTTGCAAATAGGGAGAGAGGAGAGGACAAAAGAGACTTGGCAGTTAAAATAGGTTTGGCCACCCCAGGCAAGCAAACTGTAGGCAAGGAGGAAAACTTGAATCTCACTACATCTATAAAACTATGTGCAGACTTTCTTGATGAGCCCATTGGGACTAGACTGTCCTAGATTGGTGAAACAAATTGAGGGTATGACATTTTAACCCCAGGCCAAGTCAATTCAATTCCTTGGTTCTCAGATGTTTTGAAGAAAAATTCAGCAAGATGTTAAGATGAAAATAGAGGGTTTTGTGGAAAGCTTGAATCTGACAGCATCCACTCCCTGAAACTATGAACAGAGGTACAGACTTTCAATTCAGACTCAATTTTCATGTGTATCTACCAGTTCAGTATTATTTATTTCAGTATGAAAACCAACAAATCAACTTGGTGTGGCCCTAATGGTCACTTCACAAACTGACCGCTGGTCAGTGCTATTATCCACTCAAATTCTGTGAGGAAATTAAATGGAAAAGAGAAGTGCCGTGTTCAGTGACCAGTCATTTAATTTGCCGGTCGGTCCAGGTTTCTCCCTCCCTGCAATCTGCGCTGTAATTGGCAGTCGGCCTGGATGTTAATAATTAATGCTGTAATGCAGGATTTTTTCCCTTCTTCTGACGTTTTTGGATCATCCCCAGGTTGAGGAGGATTGGCTGTCTGCTGTTATTTTGGCGTCCGTGCAAATCTGTAAATAGACATTGTAAATAGACATTTTCAGATGAAAACTTAGAGCTCCAACAAATTCTTTAGTCATCTAATTCAATCTAAGAGGACTGAACACTTCTCAGAACCTTCAGGACTTTCCTGATGCTTCGTGGCATCAAATTAAAGTACTATCTGATGCTATTTTGGTATCTGTGAAATTTGGTGTAAATCCGGGATCCGATCCTCCAAACTTGCCCGACTGACATGCATTATTTATGGAAAGACTCAGAAGTGCCTCCTTTTTTTAGAGGTGCAAAAAGGTTTTTAATTGATTATAAGAGAGTTATAGCTGCCTTGGAGAGTAATAAAAGCATGATGCTTGATGTACATGGGACAGGGAAACTGCCATTTCAGCCTGCACATTATGTAAGTTACACTTTTTGTGTACTTAACAGTCTGTGTTGTGTTATAATTTTGACTTGAATTACTTAGAGTTGTGTCAAATGCCATTTGTCATCAGCAACTTAAACCACAGTATTTGCCCAGATGCTTCTGTCAGTAATGACCTTCCCAATGCCATCAATGGGTAGCCTGGTAGTTCTTACATATTTATGAAGCTGCAATTATAACAATGCACACAGGACAAGTACTACTCAGTATAGGAACACTGGGCAAGTTTTTGCAAGGCTCATCAGACAACGTTTGCAACATACAGACTTTGGGGTCGGTATCCTTGATTCTACAAAATACAATGATGTACCATGTCTTGTACATGGCTGTCATAATATTGTGATGTACACTGTCATGTACATGCCTGCCATGTTGATTTTTGATAAAGTTTGAGTAGCAAAGTTTTCTCAGATCAGAAAAGTCCCATGCCCCTGACAGCTCTCAGATTTGCACATCCATCAGGCTTTCCCTGTCTCTGCGAGCCTCCCCGTACCAAGTGAGCTAGCTGTTCAGCGAATCCTCGGTGACATTTCTTCAGTAATTTCCAGCGTGATAACCTTCAGACACGCGGTTATATCGGTCCGAGCCTGACACGCGGTTATATCGGTCTGAGTCTGACACGCCCGATACTCGATAAGACGTGACCCACTTTCCCAAGTGACGCCATGTCAAGAATCCTTGAGTGAATCCTTAAGGGGTTTGACTAGACTGTTTTATTTTTGCACAAAGAATTGTTACTCAAGCTACTGCATGGATAGATTTTGAAAATTGTTATTAGATGTTTCAGTCACTTGCAAAAAGTGGATGCAACTTGAGATGTCTGACAGTTTTCAAATTTAATCCAGTTGCTTGAGTATTCTATGTTGGACCCTGGGAAGAATAGTGTAAATTATTGAGTGTCCCATAACCCTGGGAAATATAGAGGACATCTTTTATATACTGCTTGGTCACTCTTGCAAAAAAATGGAAGGCAAGAGTTGTGAAATTTGTCTAGGGTGTGGCTCAATAGAGTCCCAAACGCAGACATACGAGTTGGTGGAAACTGAAACTGAAACACGTCAAGTATCCTTCAACATGCAAAACTAGTCACAGCTACTGAAACTACTGACAGAATGTATTGCTCAAACCTATTTAGTTTTGCTGTAATTATAACTCCCAATTAGACCATACCAATTTAACTTGGTAGTTCTCGGATTTTTAGAAAATATGCATAATTGAAAAAAAATGTAATAAAAACCAAGCCCAAGGACATTAATGCACTCAGTTTTATGGTGTATCCCCTCACACCTAACCTATGCCTTGACCTCGATGAAGGTCGTAGTGGCACCATGACTTATGGTTTATGTGCCGTCATATTCAATTTTTCCTCCGTGCTCTCTGCTTTTGTGATGATGATGAGAACTACTAAGAAGCTAATAGGTTTTTCAAACAATCAAGTTTTTCTCTAAGATTCCCTGGTTAACCTGAGGCCTGTAAGTTTCACCTGAAACTCCCTCAGGTTTCAACCATTGTCCTACATGGCTCCTCAGTCCCACCACCCAGATATGACACAAAATAATGGGAATACTTTATACAGCCATAGATGGTGTTGATGTTCTGTGCTGTACATACATAAGACCTTTAAGTTTCAGCTGTAAGTCCCTAAGGTTTGAGTCATTGTCCTACACAACTCCTCAGTCCCTCCTACCAAATGTGACAAAAATAAGGACTGACTCAGACACGTCTTTGTATAAGACTGTGGACACTGTTGGTCTCAATATAGTTGGCCATAGTTTCCAGCTGATGTTTTGATGTTCTATGCTCTATATGAGACCTTACATATAAGTTTCAGCTGAAACTCCCCCAGGTCTGAGACATTGTCCTCCCTGACTCCACCACCCAGACACAACACAGTCGGACGTGCGTGAGCCTTTGTAGCCGCATGTTTTAGGCATTGTACAAAACAACTCCTCAGTCCCTCCTGCCAGATAGGGCACAATATGAGGGGAATACTGTATATGGCAATAATTATAGATGGTTATGATGATGAGATGGTCTTGATAGTTGGGTGTAGTTTCCATCTGATGTTTTGTGATCTATATGAGACCTGTATGTTTTTATAAGCTAAAACTCCCCCAGGCTTGAGACATTGTCCTCCCTGACTCCACCACCCAGACACAACACAGTCGGACGTGCGTGAGCCTTTGTAGCCGGCAGCTCCATTATTAATACATAACCCTGCACCACAAAAGGCCCGATCCGAGCATAACTCGATTTCCCCTCCCAGAAATTGGGTTACGGGTTTTTTTTTTACGGGAGGCTGGAAAACTGCTCGTGAAATCATAACGCTGTAAACTCGCCCTCCCGCTGCGAGCGGTTCAACCGAATTTCAGAACATAATCACCTTATGGCAGGACGGTGTGTGTACATAATACACAAGCCCCCCCCCCCCCTCTCTGTTTGAATGGCAGTGATTGGGCGTATGTTTGATTTGATGGGATGCGACTTGGACACAGAAGAGACACACCCAGATATAAATGCACAGAGATAACGGCATTCGGAGTGGGAAAATTAATCAAGACTGGAGCAGTCTGGCACAGGCTCCATCCATGTACATGTATGCAGGCTAACAGTAGAGTTATAGTGAGAGAAATGTGATTATAAGCTGGTAACAAACAGTAGGGAGATGTAGGTTGGAAACAGGTGTTACTTATGAGGGAAGTGGCCGGCCTGCGGATTGAGAAAAGGTAAGTTTCATTGCTTTTTCCTTTATAGTTTTTTTTTTATATACATGGATCGTAATAAGTTGTAGCGGCATTCAGCAATACAGGACAGTGTCTGATAGTATTGTATAATTATATTGAAATCATCATTCTGTTGATTGTAGGCATCATAACCGTGCATATCTAGTTCAGGTACGGTTCTGGATAGTCTCCTCATATCCAAGAACATAGATTTGCCCCAGGCACGGTTCTGGATAGTCGCCTCATAACCAAGAACGTAGATTTGCCCCAGGCACGGTTCTGGATAGTTCTGGATAGGCATGGACTCTCCAGAACTGTACCTGAGCATAGTTCTAGATGAAGCACAGTTCTGGATGCAACATAGACCTTTTGTTTGCCAAGCAACCCCCAAACCAAAACCTCTGCTTGGAGAGCAGCTATGGGTGTATTCATTGATGTAATGAATTTTGATAGTGCTGAAACGATTTTATGTATTCTACAGACTGTACATGCATGGCTAAGCAGACAGAAGTCAAAATCAAATTGATTATTATGGATCAGAGAAAATATCATTTCAGACAACTTAAACATGGATCAATGGCACACAATGTAGAAAATATTTGGCTGGTGAATTTCCTAATAGAAACCAACTGGTTTTCATTCAGTGTGTGCATCTGAAACAGTAATCGTGATCTACAAATGCAATTTGCTTGTTGCATAGAGATATTGAATCAATTGTAATTGCATGTTTTGATCATATCATATTGCAGAAAGTCTCTGATGATATCGTCATATATTATATTAATTTCCGGAGGTTTATACTCAAGATGATTTTTAGATATGCTTGCCCCAGAGAAACATGACTAGTAAGCTAAGAGGGCAAGACCAGAAAATTCTCAACATTCATTTTTCAAGGCAAGCAGCCTGTTTAGTGGTATCAGTCACACCAGTTGCTACCTCAACTCTTTGACAGACATTTCTTTTGTCTTTGATAAAATGTGTATTTATGTATGTATGTATGATAACAAGTAAGGTATGTTAAGTTTTGAAACAGTGAGACGTAACAAAACAATTTTTTGTCCTTTCCAGGCCAGGGTCTTCCTGGGTATTATCACCCAACACTGAGGCATTAGGGTTAGGTTTGGTCAGGATAGGTTATGGTAGTTTAGGGGTAGGGGTTAGAGTTAGCATTACCGGTAGTAGGCATATCAAAATGATTTTTGTTGTTTCCAGACAAGAGCCTGCACAAGTACATGCATCAGCACCCAGCACAGAGACAGAAGCCTCCATCTCAGGGTTAGTAAGTCAGAGTTAGGGTCAAGGTGACAGTTTAGGTGTTGGGTTAGAGTTAGTGAGTTGGGTTAGTGCATGAGTTAGATTTAAGGTTTACATCAAAACAATCTCTTTTCAGCACCCAGTACCAAGGCAAAAGGCTCCAGTCTGGTTTTAGTGAGTTAGATGTAGGGTCAAGGTTTATGGATTGGGATAGAGTAAGGGTCAGGGTTAAGATTTGGGTAGAAATTTTTTAATGATTTTTGTCACATTTTCAGGCCTGATTCTGCTGAGGTTTCATCTCCCAATGCCGAAGCAGTAGGCTCCAGCCTAGGGTTAGTGAGTTAGAGTTGGATGTTGGGTCAAGGTTTAGGGATTGGGTCAGAGTTAAGGTTTGAGTTAGAAATACATTTTTTATTAATTTTTGTTTGTTTGTTTGTTTGTTTGTTTGTTTATTCCGATCCCCATTAGTGCTTAAAAGCACTATTCTTCCTGGGGTCAATAAAATAAAACATAGATAACAAAACTTTGTACATAATGATGATTACAAATAATAAAGTAACTTCAAATCAATAGAGTAAATTCAAGTCAATAGGAGAGGTCAGAGGTCGACCTAAAAAAAAGCACAGAATAATCTGAACATAATCCAGAGTTGTATGTAATCAACAAAGGTGCCAACAAAATTAACAAAGGTATAAATAACTTAAATAACTGAATAGAACATAATGTCTAACTGATCATAATTCTAAAGAAAAGATAATTTAAAAATGATTTTTGTTCTTTCCAGGCCAGTTTCCAGAGTATGCCTAGGTTTCCTCACCCAAGCAACGCTGAGGCAGTAGCGAAACTTTCAGTGTTAGAATTAGAATTATCAGACTAAACAAAACTGTTTCTCTCCTTTCCAGGCCTGAGTCTGCCCAGGTGTCCTCCCCCAACACTGAGGCAGAAGACTCCAGGTTAGGGTTAGTTAGTCAGAGTTAGGGGTAAGGTTACAGTTTAGGGATTGGGTTATGGATTACTTATTAAGTGGACATTGAAACAGAACACATGTTCCATTCAGGGTCACCCATGGTCATTGGAGCAGAACACATGTTCTATTTGTGGTCACCGGCGGTCAGGAAATAAGGGTCAGGGTCAAGGTTTGGGTTAGACTGATGTTAAAATGATTTTTGTCCTTTCCAGGCCCGAGTCTGCCCCCGAAACTCCCTCCATTAGGGTAAGAGTTAAAGTTATCAGACTTACCAAATCGATTTCTCACTTTTCCAGGCCCGAGACTGCCCAGGTGTCCTCCCCCAACACTGAGGCAGAAGACTCCAGGTTAGGTTTAGTGAGTTAGATGGAGTTAGGGTTAAGGTTACAGTTTAGGGATTGGGTTAGAGTTAAGGGTAAGGGTCAGGGTTAAGATTTCGGTTAGACATGTTAAAATGATTTCTGTCCTTTCCAGGCCCGAGTCTGCCCCCAAAACTCCTTCCGGATTAGAGTTATCAGACTTACCAAATCAATTTCTCACTTTTCCAGGCCCGAGTCTGCCCACGTTACCTCCCCCATCACCGAGGCAGAAGACTCCGGCCTGGGAGAGAACCAGCCGTCGCCAAAACTGCCGCCGGGCTGGGAGAAGGTGACGGAGACGGAGGGCATCTCGTTCTACTGGCACATTCCGACGGGCACGACGCAGTGGGACCCCCCTCCCCCACCCTCCGAGGACGACCTCAAGCCAAGGGCAGACAGGAAGGACGACGAAGAACAGGTCTGTTTTTTTTACTATTTTTACTCTTGTTTCCTCCTCTTCTTCTTCTCCAAACAAATAAGGTCAATGACCTGGACTACACGTCTGTCACTATGGTAACCAGCATTGTAGCAGACACTCTGTGATGTCCAGTTACACTTTATAGCAGGACAGAGTTGGAGGGGCTGGTCACCAGATTATATGAATCTATGAATGTGTTTGAATAAGAATAAACAGAGAAGTAGTTTGTTAGGCTAGACTATGTGAAAGTAAACATGCATCATTAACTACATCTACTTCCAGGAAGTGATAAAATTAATATCCATTTTCTTTATTTTCTAAATTTCCTCAGGTTGAGAAGGAGCCAGCTGCAGCCACACCTGATCAGGACTCCAGCCTGCAGGAGTTCCAGAAGGCCACCCTCACACTCGCCAGCAAAACTCTTAGGTAAGCTCTGGGGTCTTGGCCATCACACTCATGAGTCAGACTTGGGAGGGAGCTCAGGGGTCTTAGCTCATGAGTTTGGCTTGGGACTTGTGCTAATACCATGTTTAGGAATAATCAGTTTTGCAGGACACAAATTTCTGTGCAAGATCTACACTTTTCCCTTTGACTTTCCACCTAGATACATATACAGAGGCATGTCTGTGTGTTTGCTTGTGTTTCTGTAGTTATACAGAATAGTGACAGGATGTGAAGGTTGAATTGGAGGACAAAATTGCCTCTTCACAGAATTGGCAGGAGAACTGTGGGTTTACTCCGTAGAACTTCTGTACAGGGTTTTCATTTTCTGTGATTTACTGATTCTAATGGCATAGAACATATTCAGCATCTATATATAGTACAAAATGTCTACAAAAGCATGCATGAAGAACATGCAACATGAACATAGACATCCTTGTACTTTTTTATGTGTAGTACCACCTGGATATCCAGAGGGATGTCAGCCATTTGTAAACTGCATTAGTCATTAATCACATACAGGCGATATCTGAGCATCAGTTGATTGAGGTCCGTTGAGTTGTTTGTGAAACGAGAGATAAAATCTGAATGTTCCGTACACAGGAGGTGATCCACATCTCAATTGATGGAGTCGACAAAAATTACTTCACATGCAGAGATGTTATCTGTGTTTCTAAGCGTAGATTGCGTCATCAAGGGGAGTAAAGGTCAAAATTAGAAAATCACAAGTCAGTCTAAGAAACTGAGTGAATTCAACCAGATATATTGAATCTTTACCTGCATGTTCATGCCCATAGGGCTAAATGCATACATCAGAATGTGATGTTACTTGTACATCATACTGAGTAACATAATACAGAGGATAGAAGCTTAAAAGAATAACGTAAAAGTCTTAGGAACTATAAAATAATACAGTCTATCTAATCTATACACATGTAGGTCTTGAAGATTTCCAAAGCAACAAATATGTATCTGATTAACTTCTGTTCTGAAATAACACTACAAAAAAATAGGGAAACATTATCACATTCTTATCAAATGCTGGCTCTAATATGTAATATTTTGCAAAATATTTAGACAAAATCTGTGTAGACCATAACTAGGGTGATATAAGTTTTATAAGTGTACCCCTGAGCATTCTCAAGTTCTTATGAAATGCTGCCTCTAATTTGAAAGATTGTTGTCAAAATATTTAGACCAAATCTGTGTTGACCATGACTAGAGTGATTTAAGCGTACCCTGTACTGAATGTTCGAACCTGAATTTCCATGTTATCTCTGACAGTGTGGCTCCCAGCTGCAGGTAATTTGTATCTAAATGCAAAGTTTCTCAGATCCAGCGATGGCTGTGATTGCTATCGGCTCTGCACAGAAACATGTTCTGAATGCACAAAAGCCAGGAAGTGATCGCCGCTCAAGTTTATCAGCGAACCAGAAAGAGAACCTGCCAAGGCCACACCAACTTAGTTTTTGGTTATCGGTTATGTTAATACGTGATTGGAAGATGAACATGAAAACAGAGTCTGAGGAGAAAATTTGTACCTTGGTATCAATGTTCTAGCCAGTGTCCCGCTTTCTGTCGGAATTTTGCTGCTCATGACAGACAAAAATTCTGCCCAACCTCATCTTTGATGGATAAAAATTGCTAACCAGCACCAAGAGACCACGTCTGGCGAAATATTAGACGTTAAACAAGGACAACAACAACATATTAGTCCCGTATTACTGTCTAGCAGACAGAACTTCAGTATAGAAAGAGATGTCATCACACAAAGCTTAGTCTACCTGCAAAATTTTGCTCCCTCAAAATGCAGAAGAAATCATTTCGGACACTCAAGATTTCAACATTTTCCCGGGTTAGAATGCCACCAGACCCCACAGGTTAGAATGCCACTAGGCTGTCTATGGCACTTGACATGATGTTATGTCAAACAAAAATGAGATGACAGGCTGGCTAGATCACTGTCAGATACAAGTTTGCATCCCAGCCTGCATTCTGACCCCAGGCCAGGTTTTTACATTGAAACGTCCTAAGAGCCAAGAAGATAAATTGGTGGCCTTGGAAAAGACAGAATCGTATCGCTTGGACTGATCTGACCTTATATGGAAATGGCCCTTCCCGGGAAACCTTCCCACCCCAACTTTCCACATGCCTGATGAGGGATGTGCGCGGAATATCAAGCGCTTACTAACGGCACCTATGGAGCCTTGCCACAGGTGGTATGTTGATGTATAAAGATTCATCCTTCAGTGCTAGAATTAAAGTCAGGCCAGAATCACTGTCCTTAATCACTCAGCCATTAGGGATGGTAGTGATCAGCCATAGCTCATTGTTAGGCCACATCAAAATATTGCCTTGGTTTTCGTACATTATAACTTTCAGCCTGCTAAGGTAGCCATTTGGCACCATGTTGGTATTGGTTATGGGGTTAGGCAGCAAGTAGAAGGTTAATAACCATCACAGTTTCAGCACTAGGGACAGGGCCATTAACCTTCAGCCTGCGAAGGTAGCCGTCTGGCACCAAATTTGTATTGGTTATGGGGTCTGGCAGCAGGAAGAAGGTTAATAACAGCCACGGTTTCAGCACTAGGGACAGGGACATTAACCTTCAGCCTGCTAAGGCAGTCGTTTGGCACCAGATTGGACTGTGGTTAGGCAGCAGGGAGAAGTTTAAGTGAAATTGTAACAAGAGGCCAACTCAGATCTCCTGACTCCATGAAACTCTGTGTATCGAGATTCAAACTTTCCCTCAGAATTTTGATCTTGATTTTGATTATATTCTGATCTTCATGTAAGCTTTAGTTCCATTTGATACTGTGGAAGACCCAAAAGAGCTCTGAACCTGGGAACCAACATGTTGACTTGGCTTGGCCCAAAGCATCGCTCATAATCATGTGTGTATGTCTCCTGAGTGCTGCCAAGGGCACAGTATACTTGTCGAAATACTTTTTTTCAATGTTCTGCAATACTGCAGAATGTCACAATATTGTTCTGCAATTTGGAAACCAACATGTTAACTTAGTGTTGCCCGAGGCATCACTCAAAATCCTGCGTGTTGTCTCCTGAGCAGAGCAGCAGCCTGCCAAGGACACATCAACATTCACCTGTCGCTCCTGATGTAGCAGAAATTAAGATATGTATCCTGTATGATGGTAGGAGGTGATTGGACAATGCAAGTCCCGATATTTGCCATGCACTGCTTCGGGGCAAACTTCCAAAACAAGTGGATTTAAGACCCACGTAATATGTAGATAAAACTTGGTTATAAAACTAAGCAAGTCTTCAACATCGCTCCCAGATGCAGCAGAAATTAAGATCAGTATCCCGTCCAACGGTTGGGTTTGACAGGACGATCTGAGTCCCGGTGTTCCTTCTCTTGGCCGCTTCAGGGCAAACTTCCAAAACAAACGGATTAACGACCCCCGCTACGGTGGTGAAACTTGGTTTTGAAACTGAGCAAGCCGTTGGGTACTGTTGCAGGGCCACATCAGTTCAGATTGCTGGTTCTGGGATTTCAGATGATGATGGTGTTGCAATGGAAGTCAACATGGAAACCAAATGGATATGATTTTAAGTTGTTGTTTTTTTTAAGTCAAAGCTGGTGAACAGATATCTGTCATCGTAGTCTAGTTAATGTTCCTCCAAAACATTGCAATGGCTTACAGTGAATCTTGCCTTGTAGTGAACTGCAGTAAAAAGAAAAAATTTAGCCCAAGAACCAGAGAGGTAGATTGGTGTAGAATACAAAACAGGAAAAACTGTGACTTGATGGCAAATATTGATCGCATAGTACGAGCTAATTCAGCTAAAAAGTGGCCAGGACAGGTTTGACCCCATAGGCTTACCCCATGCCTCTTTCAGTTTGTAGTCAGAGAACATCAAAACAGATCAGCATAGCCTAAAAAAAGTGCAACTTGAAGCCAAAGATTTATGCTTGCTACACACAGCAGGAGCTATTCCAGCCGACAGGTTACATAAGTCAGGCGTTCCAGCTCGCCGGTTTCCATGCCGACCTGCGACCTTTCACCCCTCCCGGTTCCAACACGACCGTTTGGGTGCTGACCAGCGAAGATGGAGCTCCTTTCTGGGCGTAATGATTTTTATTGATTCTGCAGGATTTCCATTATTCTCCTATTAATGATGAATCGGGGGGGGGGGCAGGCTGACGGTTAGCGCTGATGATGGATTCATCGGAAATCTTCGCACAGAGATGGAATTTTTCATCAGTTTGTTAGAGGAACAGTTACAGCAAGATGGAGGTTTTCATGGAAATTTTTAACAGTTTGTTACAGGAAGGAGAATGTGGTCAAAAACGATACAATGCGGTTTCTTTCTCCACAATTATATTCATTGTGTCTTAGTTAAGGTATATTCTAATTTTATTGTGTACAGTATATTATATTGTTTTAGTTTTTGTTGCATATTGAGTATCCAGTATGTAATTTTGTGTATTGTGTGTTGCTTCCGTTTAGGTAAGTAAGTCAATCACAAATGAGTAGACATCTGTTATAGGCTTTTACTAGTACACCACTGACTCTCATGTCAATGTTCTTCCCAGTTCCAAAATGTGGACTTGCATGGTACAGTCCAATGCCCACTTCGGTATACATGCAAGGAAAAAGAGCCCCCTAGCAGATCATGCCATAATGACAGGCCCCATATTTACTCCTCTGCAGAAACGACAGTGTGAGAAAACCGCCAGAAGAGGAAGAGGAGACCAAGACTGGAGCGGAAAAGAAGGTGAGCTTCAAATTTCAGTGTTTTTTATATAAGAAAACAGTTATTCATTTCAAGTAGCATCCACTACTTTTCATCAGTGCCTGATTTAGTTAGTGATGATGCCACTGCTGTACTTTGTGGCAGCAAGTTCTGCTCTATAATACTTATTAGTTCTCTATGTTAAAATGAGTTTTTGAACAATTACTGTCCTGATGATGTTTTGTGTGTATGTGTGTGTGTGTGTGTATGTGTGTCTATGTGTGCGTGTGTGTGTGTTTCCATACTTTGTTCAGTACCTGCTGTAGTCCTAACAATATTTTGTTGTTTCATTGCTACGCTGTGCGGTCCCTGGGCTGGGTAGAGATGGCTGTGTGTGCATGTGTGTGTGTGTGTGTGTGTGTGTGTGTGTGTGTGTGTCTGTGTGTGTGTGTGTGTGTGTGTGTGTGTGTGTGTGTTTGTTTGTTCTGTATCTGCTGTAGTCCTGATGATTTTCCCCTGCTCTGTTCCAGTGCTATGCTGTGCGGTCCCTTGGCTGGGTAGAGATGGCAGAGGAGGACCTGGCTCCAGGCAGAAGTAGCATGGCGGTGAACAACTGCATCAGGCAGCTGTCCTACAGGAAAACTGACATCAGGGACACCGCTGGCATCTGGGGGGAGGTCAGGAATTACTGTTACATTTTATATTTAATAGTAATAAGTTAATTAATTAGCTTCAGTTTACATTATTTTAATTAGTATTCTTCCTGCCCTGAAATCTAGTGTATGTTTACCTTTACAGAAGGAAATCATGTTGTTTTTGCTGTGTTTTTTCTTGTTCTTCTCCAAACAAAGACACAGACAGCTTTGACCATGGTAACTGGTGCTGTAGTAGACACCCTGTGGTGTTGGGTTACATTATGTACCAAGTGGCATGTGACCCTTGTTTTAAACTACACTGTACCTTCATCAGGTGTGAATGACCTATCATGTGACCATTGTTGCAGGGTAAGGACATGTTCATGGTGCTGGAAGGGGAGGACCTGAAACTGCTGGACCCGACCGACAGGAAGGTCCTCCATGTCCAGCCCATCCCCCAAATAAGGGTCTGGGGCGTCGGCCGCGACAACGGCAGGTATGTATCCTAGCAACCACGCATGCCGGCGCCCTCCCCTGTCCCTGTACTACAGCGCTTCTGACTATGTTGTCTACCTTCTTACTTACTGTCATACTTTATCAAACTGCTTCTTCTTTGTTGTTATTAATGTTGCTACATTTTTTAGACAGTAAAAATCTCTGTAGTCAGGCTTCTGCTGTTGGGAACAGTTTTTATCTTGAGTTTCAGAAGTAAGTAAGAAAATGCAAACTTTATGGATTTGTTCAAACACCCAAAGGGTTTTCAACTGAAAATGAGGATTTCTTTTTCATTTGTAAGCCTTGATATTAAACTTGGTATGCTTCAGAGTGTGTTCAACTTGCAATTATGTTTAAGGTGGGGTTCAGGGCAAATTTGTTTGCATCTAACAAATGCTGTTTGGCTGTTGATGTTAGAATGACAGAAATTTGACTTGTCATTTGAAGATGTATGATTTCAGACTGCTTGAAATTCAGTTTTGTTCAATTTTGTCCAATGAAGTGTAATTAAATATGTAAAACTTATTGAAATTGGTACCATTTTTCACTCGTCACAGAATACAAATTGTTCTAACTGACAATATGTAAATCTTGATTGAATTTTACTTACACTGATTTGAAACATTAATGGCATCATATTGTTCTCAGTAATATCTCTCTTGCCTCTTTGCGAATGTTCATGCCTTTTTAGCCAAGCTAAATCTGCTTTATCAGTTCCCATGTTGTTTTTCCTGCTTCACTTTTCTCCTGCTTCACCTATTTCTGCAGTGTTAAGCCTAATGCTCCTCCTCTCTGTGCTGCTTGCTGTATTGTATGTACAAAATGTACCTTTAGTCTACCGTAGTCACCACTGCCTGCCATGTGGCCTGCATGCCCTGCCTGTAACCTGTGTAAAAGACAAGCCATTCATTGTTGAGGCATTCTGCAATTGGAAGACCCGTTCGTTCTGCCTTGACTTGTATTATATACTTGCTTGCTCTCTCATACATGATATGTCAGTATGATTTATAATAAAGGCATGCCGTGATGAAATGGGGAAAAGTTAGCAGCCAATTGCAGACCTAACATTCGCCACTGTGGTTAGTGAGGGCTCGGCCATGTTCGTTGTATGATGTTTTTTTAACAAATGTCTCAAATCTCAAGTTTACCACAGCTAAACAAAGCATTCTTGTAACAGCTGCACAAAATCTACAACAAAAGCTACACCTCCATAGGCACTCAGATGGTCTCTAACACTGACTACCAAATAATAGTTGAAGAAATTGATTGATTATGCAAAATTCAGCTGTTTTGTGACAGAAAAGGTTGCCTTAGAGGTCCTTTGGACTGTTTTTGCATGTCGTTGCTGAAAACCCTACGACAGAAATGAAATCTGTTTGAAACAGGTTTGAACTGTAATTTTCAACACAACAAATTGGACTTACCCAAATTTCGGACTAAAGCAATCCATGTGACATCGCGATTTTATGCAGATGACACACAAGTGACTCAAGAAATTGGACTTACCCTAATTTTCGACAGTAGAACATCAAGTTTTTATGTCGATGACACACGTGGCTGAAGAAAAGAAATTGTACGACTAGCGTGGCCTCGCCCTGACTTATGTTTTGCTCCTGGTTGATAATAATGCCTTGCCTCCGTCAGTCTACTAATTCCACAATGCCTCATCAAGACTATGTGTGTGTTGCCCATAACAGTACAGTACGTAGTCGGATTTCTTGTGCCAGAAATTGTAAGTCCTCCGCCCTATGTACACCTTCAGTACTCGTACATCAACAAGTAAACCTGCAGGCAAGGTTTGAAGTCAAGGTTGTTACATGGCTCGTAAGTTCATCTGTGTTCAACTTGGGAGTAGTCCTTATGGAACAATTTTGAGCTGTAAATTTCAACACAAAAAATTTGACTTGCCCAAATTTTAAGACTGTACAACTTCAGTCTTTGTCAAAGAATGAGCCGTCCACTGCTTCTGTGAAGTCATCTTATGTAGATGACACCCGTGACTCGGTGAGCACTGGATCATAGGTTGCAAAGCTGCAAAATTTAATAAAAGATTGTAGTATGCTTAGACCTACATGTACATGAGACGAAAGGATGAAAAGAAAAATGCTGGACACAATATTTCCCTCTTTTATCACTTCATTCCTAGATGAATCTCCAATACCAATTCAGATACAGCATTACAATACCTTCCTCTCTCTAGCTTGTGACTTAATAATTTGTAAAAAAAAAAATACACAACAAGTAAACAATCACAAAAATGTAGCAGCAGACTCAAAGAACATATGAACAGCTGTTACCATGGTAACGACGTGACTTCAAACCTTGCCGGCCGCTCCGTTGCCACGGTGACGGAGGCTAGCTAACGACACAGTTGAACCGATGGCGTTGATTGTTTGCTGTCCGACTCCTCTGTTCATGTTTGTTCCCACGGTCTTGCTTGGCGTCACTAAGAGATGCTCTCTCAATCTGTCTCTTTGTCGCACCCTATCTGTGCAGAGAAAGGTAAACCAGCTACCTACTTACATTACTACAGTACTGTCATTACTTACATTTACTACTGTAACTGTTATTACTCTACATTACTACTGTAACAGTAACTACTCATGTTACATTACTACCATCATTACTGGACATTACTGTTGTCAGCATGAACCTACTTACATTACTTCAGTAACTGTCATTACTGTACATTTTTTTACTACTAGCAGCATGAACAATAACTGCCTTTACTTACATCGCTACTATCATTAGCATGAACCTACTTACATTGTACATTACTGTAACAGTAGTAACTGTCTTAACTTATTACTGTAACAGTAGTAACTTTCTTAACTTATTACTGTAACAGTAGTAACTTTCTTAACTTATTACTGTAACAGTAGTAACTGTCTTAACTTACTACTGTCATTACCGTACATTACTTCAGAATCTGTCTTTGGCATGAACCTTACATTACTAAGTACTGTGAGTGGTTACTTGCATCACTACTTTAACAGTAACTGTGGTTAGCATGAACCAACTTAAGTTACTACAGTAACTGTCCTCACAGTTGTTACACTTACATGTACTATACCTACATGTACTGTCTTGTGGTTAACCTTCAGCATGCCAAGGTAGCAATTAGGCACCAAATTTGTGTTGGTTATGGCATCAGGCAGCAGGGAGAAGGTTAATGTTACCAACAGTCAATGATTTCAGCACTAGGGACAGGGCCATTATATTGCTAAGGCAGCTATTTGGCCCCAAATTTGTATTGGTTGTGGGGTTAGGCAGCAGGGAGAAAGTTTACACGACGTGGGAGGGCTGGGAGAGGCATGTTGGGCAGTTCCTGCACATTTTTGGATGTAATGATATGTTTTTTTGTGTGTTTCATCATTTTGATGAACTGAACTTGGTTTCTCTACAGCATCTATGATCGATTACTAATGTTCTTACAGGACAGAATTAAACCTAAATGCATGTCTGTAACTGCTAGCTACCCTGTACCACAATCATGTACGTTTATTGTGGTTTATTGTGGAAAAACTCTTCTTACGTTATGATTAACATCACCATACTTCAATCTGTAAGAGCAGTATGTTGTAAATTGTGCATAAAAGAATCATCCTTCAGTCTGGCTACATAACATACATGCACAGTTAACAAACATCCTGATTAATATGTGCATGGCATTCTTAATATGTGCATGGCAATTTTTGGTTGCACAACATAAAGTTTAATTAAAAAAATTAAGTGTGCAGCTTCAATTTTGGGTGCACAAAAGTGCACATTAAACAGTATTCCAGCCCTGTAGCCATACAACTTGTGCGCACATGTATTTGCAGCTGTGCTGCAATATTTTGTGATGAGGAGGTAGAACTAATTTACACTAACGGTGCTCCTGATGGATCACTGCAGTTCCTTTTATTACTGCAGAATCTGATCTACAGCCCAGACTGAACCAATCTCAGTCCAGTAGTGTAATAAAACAACGCTGTGCTCAGTATTAAAGTTACCCGGTAAATTATACCATAATTACCCTTCAAAAGTTGATGAATGGTTTGGGAGTCTCCATGTTATGTACATGAGGGAGAGAAGTTCTTGTTAGCACTGTGCAGAGAAATTCTGGAGGGGGGCAAAAGTTACCACTTTCTGGTAGGGCCAAAACGAACGTGATTATTTTGGGGATAATTCTTTGAAAAACATATTTGATTCCTAAAGCCTATAATTAACACCTAGTATTTACTTGTTTTCAAGGTTATTTACTGAAAAAAAAATAATGAGCAAGGTTTTTTCTCATGTTTTTGTCCCAAAAGCCTTTAACTAACACCCATTCACATGTTTTCAAAGTCTTGTTCTGGTCAAAAATCTATGCAAAATGTTTTCTTCCTCTTGTTGTTTTCTCCTAAAGCTTCCCCCCCCCCTCTTTCAGTTCAAATGGAACAGCCCTCATGGAATTGTACAGTAATTTCATCCCCATCAGATGATCCATACTTCAAATTAAACTGTTCTCCCTTCATGTACCTGTGGAGTGATATATGTCCACACCAGCTACCCAATCACAGGACTAACGGCCACTAAAATCCATGTACAAGGCAGTTTCACTAAACCTGCCCATTCTGCACAGCCAAATGACAGACCGGTTACTGGAATTCACTTTATGTTCGCGGTAGCAAAAGTTTGAGGTCTGGGAAAAATGGAGGTGTTCGCCGAACTATATTTTTGCAGTGGTGGCAGGTGCAGAAAAAAGAAAGTTGGCAAATTATTAGATCACAGTAACGATAAGTTTGCAGTACAGAAGTGACCGTGAAAACCGTGAACATTAAACTATTGTGAAAAAATCGTGAATTACAGAATCAAAACAATTTCCCTTCCCCGTCTTCCAGCTTCTGCCCAGACAAATTAAGTAGCTGCGACGGAAATTTATGGTTAGAGGCGGGAATTTCATCTGCGCCTGGTCGGTATTTAAGCCTCATTAGTATTCCTCGTCAGGCTGGCGACGCCCTAACGAGAGTTCCGTTGCTAACGAGTGTTTTCCTCTCCCGTCTGTTTTACAGGGACTTTGCGTACGTAGCGCGAGACAAAGTGACCCACACGCACAAGTGCCATGTGTTCCGCTGCGACACCCCCGCCAAAGCCATCGCAAACGCTCTGCACGAAATCTGCACAAGGGTGAGTCTTAGGATTGATTGATTGATTGTATTGATTAATTGATCGATCGATCGATTGTATGATTGATCTATTGTTAGTATTGATTGGCTGGTTGTGTATCAGCCACTGCCAAAGCCATTACCAACGCTCTGCACAAAATTTGCACTAGGGTGAGTTGGGGCTATTGATTGATTGATTATATGATTGATTAATTGAATTGATCATTTGGCTGGTTTCTTGGTTGTGTATCAGCCACTGGCAAAGCCATTATCCACGCTCTGCACGAAATCTGTACAAGGGTGACTTAGGATTGTTTGATTGATTGATTGAATGTATTGATTGATTGATTGTGTGTGTGTGTGTGTGTGCGTGTGTGTGTTTGTGTGTGCGTGTGTGTGTGTGTGTGTGTGTGCATGTGTGTGTGTGTGTGCGTGTGTGTATGTGTGAGAGTGAGTTGGTGTGTGTGGGTGAATGGATGGATGGACGGACAGATGGATCATTGATTGATTATATTCATCGATCTTACATCGACCTCTGTCAAAGCCATTGCTGACACACGAGAAGGAAGGATTGGAGACCACCTCTCACTCACATGGCAGTTTTAGAACAGAACTTTTTTGTAAGTTAAAGTTACAGGTGTTTTGACCTGTGGATACATTGTATTTGTGATTGTGTGGCACATGTTTAATAATGTGATACATGACACACATAATATATAATATTTTCCTATTTCTGAAGTCTGGAAAACTATCCATTGGCTAAAGAATATCGTGATAAAGACAGAACAATAGACAGAATCAGTAAGTCGTAAAAGTCAGATGACAGTTTTTGCAGCGAAGCCTCCTCTGTGTAGCTAATCCTACCTGACACTGATTACATCAGGATGGAAGGGGTGAGAACTAATCTAGCAGAGTAAAGCAGACGTTGGCAGGGCTCCACGGCTTAGATAGATTACAAACTCGCACTATAACGAAGTTAACGTTAATTGCGACCCTTCCGGAGAGTACGTAATTCGTCAGAGTCGGTTTTCCCAGTAGTAGCCTCACTTCTTCCGTGGGACGCCGTAAATTTCCTCCTAAGTAGATTTCTCTGACGCATTTCCTTGTGTGCTTGTGATCCTTTACATTTGGATGTTATCTCGCAAACAGGAAATTTACGCCCAGCGAAGTGAGAATTGAGAGCCGATGTGTTTGTGTCTGTGTGAGCCAGATGCACAGCAGCAGGATATCTCATACTGGGATCTCTGATATGTCAATGTTCTGATGCATGTAAAGGATATAGAATATGGGGGATTATATTCTGAACAATTCTTCAAATAATTCTCTTGGTTGTCCTTTGCATATCTTGTTAAATTTTTTTTTGGCAGGAAAAAAGATATCTCAAATTTGGATCTCTGATCTGTCAATGTTCCGATGCATTGGATATACAATATGAGGGATTCACTTACATTCTGAACAATTCAAAATGATATAACCTTCAGCATGCTACGGTATCCATTAGGCACTAAACTTATGTTGGTTATTGGGTTAGGCAGCAGGGAGAAGGTTAATAACAACGGTACCACAGTTTCAGCACTAGAGACAGGGCCATTAACCTTCAGCTTGCTAAGGTAGCTGTTCAGCACCAAACTTGTAAAGGTTATGGCATTAGGCGGCAGGGAGAAGGTTAAACGACATGGGAGGGCTGGGACAGGATATAGAATATGGGGGATACAATTATATTCTGAACAATTCAAAACGGCATAATTTTCTCTCTTGGCAGCCCTTTGCATATCTTGGTATATCTATTTTTTAGGAAAAAAGTTACAGAAGTACAAACTGTAAGAACATGAAAAGCACAAGCATAGGATATAGTTTATGAGGGATTCAATAATATTCTGAACAATTCACTCTCTTGGTAGCCCTTTGCATGTCTTTTTGTTAGGAAAAAGTTATGATTAATGAAGTCCATACTGTAAGTGTGTGAAAATCACATGACATCCCAGTCTCCCATCCAAGACTGTAGAATCAGTTGCGCACATCCCACCACAGATGTGATAATATCACACTCCAAGTTTCACCCTGATGTGTATCATCCGTTAGTCTGCGGCCATCCAATATCAGCACCATTATTGGCCGGGCTCAGGCTGAGTTATGGCTGTAAGAACGGCCGACAGGTTTTATATACTGCTTATGGCGGGCCGGCGTGGGGGAGAATTCTAATGAAGGATATAGTTTATTAGGGAATTGTTCTGCCGATACTGGTCTGAATGCACGGCTCCTGTTACCTTTTTGTTGGAAGATTTGACATGCGTTGTTGCCTCCGTGTACAGGTGTTTTGTTACTTGGTGTGTTTTCTTGTGTGTAGTCATTTCCACATGCTTGGCACATCAGCGACACTAACAGGACACGCCAAAAAGCAGTTACTCAAGCAACTGGATATGATTTTGAAAACGTCAGACGTTTCAGCTAGTATCCACTAGCTTTCGTCAGTGACTGAGAGACCAGAGGGGAAATGCAGGTTTATAAGCACAACCTATTGATTGATATGCAAATAAAGGGAAGACATATTTTTGGAAGTCGAAAAAGGAACAAAAGTCAGACAATTCAAGACAAGATAATGCAAATAGGAAATAACAGGAATTTATGCCAAAATCTCAGGAAGCTCCCAGAAAGATTTGACATGCATTTCTACCTTAGTCTATTACTACAGAGGTTTTGTTTTTAGTGTGTCGTGTTTGTAAGTTTGCTTGTGTTTTTGTATAGTAGTTATTTCCACATGCTACCCATATCGAGGACACAGACAGGATGTTAGGTAGAAGGTCCCAGAAAAGGTTATCTCGATTCCTGTCTGAGATTTTCTGCTATATGCATGTCTGATTGCATGGACAGAATCAATGAGAAATTCTCAGTGGTCAATAAAGCAAGAAATTCTCAATAACTCTAAATATTTCACAAAGGTAATGGATCTTTGCTTTCTTGTTTGTAAGGAAATAACTCTGCCAGTACTTGTCTGAAGATATTATGAGCTGTGTGTTCATAAAAGTATTGGCAGAGTAATTTCCTTGGATCTTTGATTTCTTGTTTATTGGCAAATTACTCTGCCAATACTTGTCTTGCACAGCTCTTGTTGCCTTCAAGTTTACTAGATATGACCTGATATGAATTGTTCTTGTAATTTGATATGCACATGAATCTCAATCCTGTGGAATAATCTCCGTGACGTTTATGTGTGAGAGAATTTATTTCCCCGACTTTATGAGATATTAAGATGACCTGAGGGCACCCGGAGATGGGCTTCAAATCATGGACTGTATCAAGAGTTATGTTCCGACTTTGTTCACCACCTTTAGGTGCACATTACTCATTTACACTTCTGGGATCACTAAAAGTAAGTGTGGAAGGGATGTAGAAAACTGCAGCAGTAATATACTGTTTACGGCCCGTTCTGTGGATTTTATGTTAACTTTCACAGTTGGAAGTATTATGTTCTTGCTCTGTTTCGTCTTCTGGGATTACTAAAAGTAAGTGTGGAAGGGATGTAGAGATTAGGGCTGTATATTAGGGCTGTAATATACAGCTCTTTCTGTGGATTTTATGTTTACTTTACTTTCCCAGATTGAAATATTATGTTTTTGCTCTGTTTCCTCTTCTTCTGTTGCAAGCAATTAAGGCCAATGACATGGACCAGACGGCTGTCACCATGGTAACTGGTGCTGTAGCAGACACCCTGTGGTGTTGGGTTACATTATGTAGCAAGTGGCAGGACAGATATGGAGGGGCTGGTCACGATATGTATGAATGCAAAGGAGTAAGAGTAAACAGCAGTAGTTTGTTAGGCTCAACCAATTGTTACTAGTACCTCTAGTTATCAGATGTCAGAGAACTATTGCATATTTTATCTAGGCTGCCCATTTTCTGTCTATGTTGTCTTGGTTTGCTCTTTGCAACATTATTTATTGCATTCCTGAACAAAGTATCATAAAAAATAAAGAAAGGTTAACAGAACATTAGAGAACCCAGGGAATGAATTGTTGTGACTTTACAACCACTTTAACAGCCCTCCCAGCTGTTGGTGAAACACAGTGTACAATATGAGTACTGCCTGGCTGCCCCCCTCCCCACGCTGCAATGAATGTCCCAATCGGTACACCAGTCAAGCGCTCAGTACCAAATGGTCTCAGACACGGCGGCCCGACGATTTGGCAGGCAAAACTCCTCCGCCCAAACGGCCTGCTGCAGATCGGCTCAGAATTACGGTCTTACGTCGCTCTATTCCTGCTGTCGTCTGGTTTAATTAGTCCGGATCTTCGGCGGTGCGTGTTATGGTAGCTCCGTCTAGACGGTTGCTGAGGACGTCATCTCGGTCCAGCCAGCTTCCTTCCTCCACCATCTGCTCTGCTGTTCCTCCTGGGGTAGAATTCCTCGGAAGTGAATCTTAATTGAATTTTGAATTTCTGTGAGTTGAGGAGGAGAGGGTTCAGGACGAAATTGGTTTTGTGGGGACGAGTTTTGAGGAAATTGTCGGACTCAGAAGCAATTTCAGGATTTCTGCAAGCCGGGTCTTGGTTCGAGACGGAATTTGGTGGCGGCAAAAATTGCCTGGTAAGCAAATTTGTCTGGTGGAGAAGCCGTGGAAGACACGGTTGGTCTGCTGTAGACAAGGATGGGCGTCGTCTGCAGCAGTCTGGATCTTACCAAGGCTCGACGAACACTGGACGTTGAGTAAGTATAGATTTTCTTAGATTTTTCTTGGATCAGGGAATCATCCTCAGTGCGATGTGATTGCCAAAGCAGCTGAAATGGTAAATTGAATTGTAACTTTTTGTTTAGAGATGAATATTTTTTTGATAAATTGAAATCAGCTTGAAAATTAATAGTAACTTTTTGTTCAGAGATGTTTGAATATTCTGTCATAGTAATTCTTGGCATCAAAACCCTCTTGGTTAAGGTAACAACAATCTGGAGGTTTGCCTGAAGTAGCATTTGCCACTGGATTTAGACGTTAGGAATTTTCATGTTTCATGCTGTGTTTCTTTTGAT